CACACACACACACACACACACACACACACACACACACACACACACACTACTCACACTACTTGCCAACTCTGGAGTTCTCTCTCTGTGGAGGAGGTGCTGCAGAAAAGTTCTGAGGCCAGATGACCCTGGGTTCATACATTGGCTCTCTTGCCAGGTCCCGGCATGCATTCCCCAACTCCTTTATTTTTCTTACAGAGAGCAGAATTTACTCTCAAGTAAATTCTTGAGAGTACTTCCCAACTAAGCTGAGAAACTTCCGTACTGCTGACGTAGGCAGGACCAGGCAAAAGCTTAGTTCCAGGTCTCTAAGGGGAATGGGTAGCAGTTCTCCATATTATGCCCTGTGGATGACTGCTCCTTGCCTGTTCCTCATTTATTGGGCATGGTTTCCACTTTCTCCTGTACCTGCCTTTTGATGTCCCATCTTTCTATAAGCCCTCTTACTTTGAGCCCTCAGAAATGTCAAGAACAGGGCATAATATAGACAATAATGCAAAATCAGCCGGTCACCAAACACCATTTGACCCCATGTAATGGCTATGTGCTGGGCAAACAAGGCGTACTGTCACTGGACTAAGGGCAAGAGCAGACTAAGACAGTGACTAAGGAGTCACAGTTCTCAGTCCTGAGCTATAGTCTAGAATTAATTGGACCTTTAGAGGCAGAGAAGGGCTTGCTAGGAGGGACCACGAGATAGTGGGGAGTTGAGACTACGGTGGTGAGCCTTGGGGAAAGATATTATTAAACCGGAAACAGGGAAGAAAGAACAGTCACATGAAGGAGGAGGCTTGAAGAAGCACATTTTGAAACACAGAAAATTTACTTTAACAGCTAGAATGAGAATAGAATAAAAGGAGTGTGTGTGTGTGTGTGTGTGTGTGTGTGTGTGTGTGTGTGTGTGTCTGGGGAGGGTGGTTACTGATGAGCAGGGCCTTGCACACTGTGAAGGACTGGAACTCATATAAGAAGATGTCAGCTATGATCTCAGAAGAATCAGGGGCCTTTCAGATGTCTCCATGTCACAAAACACCTGATCATGGCTTGTCCCTACCACCCCGTATCCTTAAGCCCAAATGCTGTCTTAAAGTCTAAACTTTCCCTAACCCCTTCACACACCACATTCTGACAAAAAGCTCACCTCATTCCAGGGCCCTGTCTTCCACTGGGCGGGGCAGGGCATTCTGTTGCAGGGCCTGCGGCTCTCAGGACGGTCCCCCATGCAGTACTTGCTGTGCACGGAGCGGTTGGTGCCGTCATGGAGCGGCTGGAGGCAGCGTACGGTGCGGAGCTGGTACCCAGAGCTGCCGCAGCTTTTGCTGCAGTGCTCCCATTCTTCTGCTGCCCAGCTGTGGGAGCAAGAGGAGGCAGTGAGGGAGAGCTGGGGCACCCCCCCCAGTGCAATGCCCAGGCACTTCCCATCTTCTGTTCTTATGAGGGCACAACTCTCCGACAAGGTGCCCAGTGCTTTGCTTTAGAACAACAAAAGGACTTGGCTATGACCCTCTTACTCATGAGATGTCGGGTTTGCTCGTTGTTTTAATATTCTAGATTTCACTATTATTAGACCTTAGTGGGCCTGAGAGAAAGGTCATGCGTGCAGGCCTCGAGAGAAGGTAGCTCCTTGAATGTGCCTAATAAAACTGTTTCCTGGGAGTCATTTTCAAAACTATGTCTCATGGAGCATTCCAAAATTCTAATGTCACTGGCAGAGCCTTAATGCTGAAAGCCAGCTGTGATTACAATTCTCCCATGAGACACATCTCTTTAATTAGAGTCACAATTGAGGCCTTCAAAGACGAGCACCGTTCCTATTCCCAACACTCTTTTAGAAAAATTCTAAACACCATATTTCATTTTGACAGGCTAGGTTAGTCTTACACTACAAATAGCAAAGAGTTACTAAGGTATTGACATGGTTATGTGTCAGGACTTCCTCGTTATAGAAGGGACAATAAACTGTATGCCTCAAGTATATACATATACTGACCAACCAGACGGAAAAGGGAAAAGACTGAAAAAAATTCAAATAGATGACATATCAATGGCATCTAAGAAAGTGGAACTCACTGAGCAGTGAGCAAGGTGGTTGTGGGGATGGAAGAAATCTGGAGATAACAAAGGGCTCAGCTGCCTTCAGAGAGGCTGGTTTGCTGACCTGCCAGGAAGCATAGTTTGTATGGCTAACAGCAGTGTGGAATGCATTTCAACACTGGGAAGCCTTTTAAAGATGCACACCACATAGAAAAGGCAAGGGCTTGAGTGTAAGTATATACTAGTTACCTTAATTTTAACATTATCAAAATAGACTCATGCACCATAAATGTGGTTCCTTGAAAGTAAATGAAGCCTAAGGTACACACTACACTAGTAAAGATGATCCTGCTGGCCCCTCTCATTACTGAGAAATTGCCTTCTGCTCACAACATCTAAGAACTTAAAAGGATGAGAAAAGTATGTCCTATAGAGCTGAGAATCAAAATGACCACTAATTTTCAACAGCAATTCTAGAGTCTAGCCAACAAAGGGACAAAGATTTTGAGATTCTTGGAGAAAACTTAGCAATATTTACCTACGTGCATGTCTCCAAGAGTTCAAAGGTGAGAGCAGAAGTGAGACATTTCTCACAGCTGTACTTTCACCTCTTCACATGTTTTTCCTACGTGTCTACATTTAAATCCTCCATATAAAATGTTTTCTTTGTTATACATGTGTTTCTGAGTTTCTGAGGAAAACAAGTACCTCTTGAAAGAGATGAATGAACTGAGTGATAAGACATAATTGATTAAGGACACCCAGAGAGCAAGGCTGAGGCAGAACTCTGCACCTAAGAGGAAACCTGAGTGTTTACTACTTAGATGTGCTTGGCCTTCAAGACCAAGCAAGAAAGGAAGCTATGTTATGCTCTTACAATATCACTCATGTGTTGAGATGCATGTGACAATCATCTCCAGATACCACTGTCAGTAAAATAAGTCCAGATTGTTAGAAGCAAGAAAGAAAAAAGTGAAGTGGGGTCTATAGAGAGTGTCAGAGAATGCTACATCTTTGAAAGAAACTCAATATCTTAATATATAACCTGTCACTTGTCCCCCCAAAAAACTAATGGGCAGAAGGCACCCCTTAGATGAAAGGAAGTACTAATCAAATATTAAAAGAAACAAAATAGCTGAAAATATATTTGCATTGTAGGAGTAGGGATGTAGGGAAAGGCAGGGGACCACAGCTTTGTACACTCTTTCTGGTAAGTCTGACTACTTGAAGAGGTCAGTGTAAAAGCTTGGGACTAAACCTTTAAAGACATTCCAGTCCCCACCACCACAGCAGGGTTGCACAATTAAGTGCTTACAGCGGGTGTGTGCATTCCTGAATGTTGCACATGCGTCTGATGGGTTTCGGCTTTTTATTGACCTCACAGAAGCTGCGATGAACCATTTTATTGTCACTTTTCCTTCGGCATCCATATTTTGTATACTGGAAACCTGGAACAGAAAATCAGTTCTGTTTAGCCACTTACTAATGGCACGCTTTTGAGTGTTCACGCACGCATTCCTTTAATAAACATCTGCGTGCACACTGTGCCAGGTATTACAGTAGGTGTTTACAATTTAAAAGCAAGTAGAAACAAATTCAAAATTAAATTGGCTTCTTTTCTCAGAACTTACATTTAGTGGATACTAAAACTTCTTAAGCAGTGCCTGTGTACTTTCGAGTGAACAAGAGGGAATGTTCCCACCATAGTGTGAGGGAGGGGTAGGAAATCACGTGGCGAGCAAAGCTGAGTAGCATGGGTTGTTTTTTCAGAGCTCAGTGATGAACTTTTTGCAGAGGCCACTAGCTTCGCAGATGGGAAGGGACAGGGAAGTGTTACAGGCCAACATCCCCTTAAGCAGAACAGTGTTGCTCAAACGGTTGCATAAAGCAAAGGATATGCCATCAGTGCCACACACAGGAAAGAACGGGAAACAGGTTAGGTGCTTCCGGTGGGGAGAGAACACGTCATGTGTGAAGAGGAAGGAGGTAAGAAAGCATGAGAGCTACAGTCATGAGCCCCACAGAAACATTTAGATCTGAAGGTCATTATTTTGATATTTGTAAAACAAACAAATCCACAGACAACAAAACCCTCTACAAATTGAATACTTTATAACCTGTATAAAAACGTGGTAAGGAAGCCGAGTATCTATATGAATTTAGATTCATCATCACATTTACTGTCCAAATTACAGTTTACCATACATGCATTTTTCTCCAAATTGCAGACCTCTGGATCCTTCGCTCCTAAACATTTCCCATTCCTCCAAGATAATTCTTACAGTATAATATGCAGACAATATTCAAAACCTGCCATGGCCTATGTCAAGTTCCTTGCTGAAGCAAGGCTTTTCCAGTCAGGGACCCTGTGCTTCACCTAATGTCCAAAATCTCCTCAGCTTCCTCAAAAAAAAAAAAAAAAAACAATGAGGGAAGAAATTCAGTACAGCAAGGCAGAATGTTACTCAGGTAACATGGTGTGAATCCTATGTTTTTGGAAAAACCACTTAATGTCCCTGAGTTTCAATTTCACCATCAGTATAACAGAGCTAAAACTAGTACTGACAACACAGAGCCACTGTGACTACCAGCACATGGATATCTGAAGCATTCAGCATGGCAGCTAGTGTCTAAGACACAGAATAATTACATATACTAAGGCACTTTTCTTGAAATATATATGCCAGTTATTTTGTACAAAGCCATTGCAATATGCTTTGCTTAATGATCCTTAATGATGAGACTCAGCTTATTAACTCTATGCAAGAACACTACTTGAATGGCTTTGTGTCTTCAGGGCCACATGTCAGATGACTGAAGGATTTTAATTAGATTTCACATGTTAGAACAATATAATTCAACTCATTGGTTAACTTAAAAACATTATCATGTAAATAGAGAAAAAATCAAAGTCAGTACAGGAGGAATAAACTTCTCTTCCAGAACAGTGGAGAAAGCCTGCAGAGGCAGGCACAGATGCCATGCATATTAAAATCTTGTCACTGATAACCTTGAGGATCATGGAGATGTCAAGCACAGATAAAAGGGAGGCTCTGAATTAAATCCGTATCTGTGTTGCATCAACGAACGAAGTGTCATTCTCAAAAGCCCTAAACATTTTATGTCCCTTCCCAGAAACACTGTAGAAATATAGTCTGGAATATTAATTAAAAATTGGTTTACCCAGAATTCCTTACTATGAATATATGCTTAGACACAGCTATTCTTACTAGCACGAATAGAAAAGAGGGGACGTACATATAAAGAACAAGATGAAGAGAGGCAGCAACCAGAGTAAACAGGATTGTAGGAAGTTTTAGATTTTGGGAAAAATGATTAAGTTGCTACTGTGTTGAACATGAGACATAAAAAAACAAAATGAAAAACAACCTGCAGGACATTAGCATGGGGGTATTAGGTTCTCCTTTGGTTTAAGTGCTTTTCAACATGCTGGTTACGACCCTTTTTGGGAGGTGGAGGGGGACAATCAACACTTTCACAGGGGTTGCCTAAAACCACTGGAAAACACAGATGTTTACATTATGATTCACAATGGTAACAAAACTACCATAGCAATGAAGGTCATTTCATGGTTGGGGGTTACCACACCACGAGGAACTGTATTAAAGGGTCGCACCATCAGGAAGGTTGAGAACCACTGTTTTAAGTGGAATCGCCTCCTTTGCAAAGTCTGACAAATAACTAGCAAGGATTTTGGATTTAGAGTTCAGTTGTTGTGGTATGTTTCCAACTGCAGCTCCAAATTACAGACAGTTCTTAGAATAAAAGGTTGGCTTTCTATAAGACATGTTGACATAAAACCTACTGGTTAGACAAAGGGAAAAAAAAAAGACATGAAAGGAGAAGAACTCGATGGAGCGAGGAAAATGAGCAGCAGGAGTGGGCGCGGGAAAGGCGAAGGTGAGAAGTGTGCGCGGGAGTATGATCAAGATACGCTATGTAAGTGCGTATGAGACGCCGTAACTAAGCACATTATCGTGTCCACCAACACACAGTGACGGTTTACAAACGGCTGCATTGTTACCTCCACCGCAGGGTTTGGAGCACTGAGACCAGCTCTTTAACGCCCACTCGAAGGTATCCAGCTCCTCCTGGATGACATTGTTGCTGTTGATGGTTGGCACCGAGTCTTCGTGGATGATGTACTTATATGTCAGGCTGGAGCGGGTGTCATTCTCCTGGGGTATGATCTAATAGATGTGCGAGAGATGTAACCAACATATCAACAGCCGGGACTTCACTGCAAACGTGGGCATTTCAGGATATTGATTACTTTGGAAGCTGGAAGATGTTTAAGGTAGTGTTTGTTCCCGTCAACCCAAAGTGGTAGTGCGCAATAAAAAAGAAAAATGCGAACACATAAAACTTGGAATATAATGATATAAAAACACGCTGTAGAGTAAAGCTTCATGTTACCAAGGTAACTCATTTTCTGTGGGTTACCTTAAATCATACCATCTCTTCAGCGTATTTTAAAGTTATTTATAATACATTGCTTTGTTATAGTGACCATGTTCCTCCCAGAAAAGGGGGGGGGGGAACACCTTCTGGGAAAAGATACAGAAAACAAAAAACAGCCATAACTCTGTAGAATAAGAGAAAATCCAAAGTAAGTTTTATTATTTTGGGATATTCTCTCAAAACAATGGCATCATGTATATCTGTGTGAACATAAGCAGCATTAATCAATACTGCTTATTTGCTCCTTTATGGAGACTTCTCAATTTCCTGAGAACTGTAAAGGCTTCTGTGCCCTTTAACTTTTAAATACTCCATTTATCACTACATATAATTTCCTTCTATTGATTGGTTAAGAAATACACCATTTTAGGTAGTGTGTCTTTTCCTGACTTGGGATTTTCTTGTTCTTGATCCACTGTGCATTCATTGTATGCTTGCTGGCCATCCCACACCGTTTTCGTCACTGAGTTTTAAAAGCTTGTGACTTCTGACTTGCTGGCATTGGCTCTGGTTTCTCTGCTCATTCTAGGGGAATTCTCTGCCAGGTACTATGGATGCTTAAACAGCTTCCAGAGAAGCTCAAGTGGCCAGGGAAGAAGACCGTCAGCTGCTACATGGGAAAGGTTGGCATGCTTTGCTGAGGCCTTTCAGCAGCCATAGGTGCTGGCCCAGACATCCTAGACAAGCCACAAGGTGACGATGGCCCTGTGGCCAACTACCTCCCGAGAGTCTCTGTGTCACAAGTGGTCAGGTAACCTACTTTCAGATATACCATCCACAGACTCTATGGAATATGCTTTTGTTTAGCTACTGTGTTTGAGGGACCCTGCCATATAGTAACAGAGAACCAATTTTGATATATATGTGCAAAAATTAACTTAATTTATATAAAATGATCACAAATAATTAATAAATCTAAATGAAATGTAAAACGTTTAGAAAATAAGAGAAATGTTTTGATGTAACACCTAGATATTAAGCCATTAAAAAACTTTTATGTGAGAAACTTTAGTGAAGCTAAGAGAAGGAAAATACAAGCTGGGTACTGGAAAATATTTCCAATCATGTATATTTGACAAGTCCAGTGAGATACAAAATGAACTCTTTAAATTCAAAATTAACAATGGACAGCAGATCTAAAAGGCCATCTCAAAAGACAAATATCTATAAAGTAAAAGTGGAGAAATTTGATTTAATTTAGTATAAATTTAGAAATTTGATTTAGAGTAGTGTAACTTTTTAACAAGGCATCCAACAACGCATTTCAAACCAAGTAGATGCTTTCTGGATTCTTCCTTGAGAGCAATGGATTTCCCTCCCAACACAGAACTGTAACCTGCACAAAACCTTCTTGGTAGGGGTGGTGGATATCATAGCAGATGACAATCTTCCCCCAATGAAAAGGACACGCCCTGTTCTTACGTCCCCACAGTGTCCAGAATCTAGAGGTCAAGCATGAGCCAAGCATTGTAGTACTGCTACACTGACCATGTCAAGATCAGAGCTTGGAACCCGCAGGGCCTGAAGAGGAGAAGGCTGCCTGGAATGGTGTCCCAGAAGCTTTCAGGTCCTGACCAGAGGCCTGGCCTCTGCATGGTCAGTTAGAGATGCTGTGTGCTCTCAAGAAGCTATCGCTAGATGATAATAAAAAAGAGACCAGAGGACAGCCAGGGATGAGAGTCAGGGGGACTTTTCCCAGCAGAGTGAAGAAGGCTCAGTTAACATCTGAAAGATTCAGTTAGGTCCCGAAGGCCATGCTGTAAGCATAAGGTAGAGTAGAAACAGACCAGTGATAATGAAGAGGAGGCTTCAAAAGGTCAAAGACTTAACAACCTCTGGACCAGAGCAAAGTAACTTCTCATGCATGAGTATAAAGTATAAACTCAGAAGCAGGGAATGGTGGGTCATCAGGGAGAAAACAGAAGCTTCCACAGAAGCAGGAAGCTTGGAGACCTGGAATGTAAAGGGAAAGCTGAATATAAGGAGTAAACATATCAAGATCAAAAAGATTACAGAGACTGGCGAGGCTACAGAAAAAAGAGGAGCTTTGTACACTGCTGGTCGCCATGAAAAGTGAGACAGCCACTATGGAGGCGTCTCAGAAAACACTGAGCTACCTTATGGCCCAGCTTTACCACCCTTGTGTACGTACTGGAAGGAATATTAACACACCACGGAGGTACCTGCATATCCATGCTCATTGCAGCGTAATTCCCAATATGAAACCAACCTAGCTGTCCATCAGCAGATAAAGAAACAGGGGTATATATGAAATTGGGGTTTTATCCAGCTATAAAGAATGAACTTACAGCATTTGCAGCAAAATGCATAGAAGTGGGGAGCATGCTAAGTGAAATAAGCCAGGCTCAGAGGAACAAACATCGCATGCATGTGTTTCCTTTCTTACACACAGGAAAATTATTGTGTGTACAAATGATATGAAAGTAGAAGGGAAATACGATGGAACCAAGGTGTCCAGAGGGAAGGGAGGACAAGGCAGTGAACTTGGTGGGAAGGAAAACTAAGTAAAATATTGCATGTTTAGTCTCAGAGAGATGTGTATCTGTAATGTGAAAGCAGAAGGTAGACCAGAGTGGAAAGGGACCAGCTGCAGGAGGAGGCAAGGAAGAACAATGGGGGTAAATATGAGCAAAGCACCATGACATGTAAAATCATAACGAAATCAATTCTCACACTAATGAAAAAGAGCAGTGTATAATCCTTAAAAAAATCAGCTATAGAAAACTGGCATACCATATTCAGATTTCTCAGAGAAATGAGATCCTCACAATAAATACTGGAGTCTAGGAGACAAAGGTTCTGCCAACCAGGAAAACACACCTCCTGTTTATTAGCCCCTGAGTAGAATACTTCTTCAGAGGAGGCTGCTACCTGAAACCGCCAAAACTTTCTGACACTTGGGACAGCTTTCACACTTCTAATGGTTTTAATTGTGGCTCAAACAAAACCTTCAGAAGTTCTGGAAGGCAACAATCTCATTACCAGTTTCAAACTTTGTCACTCACTTTGTTTCCATCTTATCTCTCTGTAACTACGAGTACATTATCAGGCCTCCCCATTCTATTCAGTCTCACCCAGAGGCTGCCTGCTTCATACACTTTATGAAACAGCACCCCTGGTTGGCGAGGCCTGCACATGACTCATGGCTATAAGGAACCCTCCAAGGCTTTCCACCAGAGAAGACTCCTGGAAGAAGGGGGAGGCGGGGGCTGCTGAGTGGGGCTCCTCAACAGACAGACCCTTTCTGAGGGCTGTGACCTCACTTACAAATATCCGCCGAACAAGCTCATGTGTTCTGCTGCGGGTGGCCAGATGGTTCTCATGGATCATCCCTCAACTCTTAATGGATACTTCTTCAACGATTAACATAATTTGCACATAACATAAAGAGTTCTTTACAGTCTACCTCTTCAATGTTGCCAAAACACTGATAGTCGTCTAAATAACAGATTTTCATACCAGGCGCTTTTCTGATAAAATTCTGGTTTTTCTGCTATGTTTCTCGGACATATCACCTGTGTTTGTTAAGAAAATAGCTGCCGGTATAGAATTCTTGATGTGTTGTGTTCATTGTATATTATAAATAGCATGCTTATTCAGCAAGTAAGTATGAAGACATCTCTAAATCCAAACTACAAAACTGATAATAACCTAAATCTACATTGCTTGCAGATAACCTTCAAGAACTGAGGGCAAAATACTTGCATTTTCGATAAATTGAAAGGGGCTGAGAGAATTCATCGAGATTTCAATACTCTCATATCGCAGAAACTGCCAAAGGAAGTTCTCCATGTAGAAGGTAAACAATAGTGAATCAAAAGAGACATCAAAAATGTTAAGTTTGCGATTAAATATAAAAACCTACTTTTGTTTCTGTTGCCTTTAACTTGTCATTCAAGTAAAACATCATACTTATCAAACTATAGGAAAATGTTGCACACAGGACAGGGAGACATTGATAAAATTACAAAGAAAGAAACAAGAAAATATCCAGTCATGTAGGTTAGCTAAACGTGTTTTCATTTAACTTAGATTATAAACGAGGCCGAGAACATAGCATGCTGCATGGCACATACCAGCACAATGACGGGATCACGTAGGGGCCCATCCGTGTGGAGGGTTTCAATGTCATCTTCAATGTTGTAGTCCCACTCCACACCAAGATCTATGAAGGTCCGAGACTTGGCTTCCTCCCCTTTGCCGTTTAGAATGTAGTGACCTGTGGCTTGGTTCTTGATAGCTAAGTGAAGGAAAATGAGTGATGGGCACACTTTTAGCCTATGGCGGTGTTGATGACTCACAGCAAATCTCCCCAATTTTATTAAGACCAATGACTCCTCTTCCTTATTAGTATCAAGCAGTCAAAATGAATGTTAGCTTTAATGGCTTCCCGCTCCCCTCATTCATCATTTAAACCATTGAGAAGCATTCCTGCTGACTTAAATAGATAAAAAGAGTGAAAAGTAATGTTTGCAAATATTCCCATTTGGAAACATTGTCAAAGATATTAGCACATTCTAACTCAATCATCCTATACATTTCCTTGGAAGGTGGGACCACTTTGGATATAATAAACACTTTGTTAATATAAACTATCTCTTTAAAGATTGGTAAGATATTGATTGTCACCCTAAAGAGCTAAACTGATTTTCAGGCCAATAGTGTTTCTGATGATGACCACTCAGGATATTTATCATTGATACAGTTCTTAATGCGTTACCAATCTGCTGTTAGGATATAAAACTTTTCTAGTGGGAAAATAACATTAAAATGTCAGTTTAGAGGTATCCATCAGTAAGTGAGAAAACATTTCATAATTCTAACATCATTAAAAAACGTATTTAGCTAAAACCACTTTTTATATTTATTTCTCTTAAGCGTTTAAAACAATTATTCCAAGAATAATCTGAATCCTAGGATGAACAATAAGGATTTTAGAAACTAGCAAATGAACTATGAGCAAATGCTTGTAAGTTAAGCCATCTTGATGGTAAATATAACTTAAATAGCTCTTGAACCACCAAAATAAAGACTTTTAGGACATCACAAGTGAATGAAAACAAATTTGCTCCAAAATTTTACAGAGCTGACAGCTAATCCCTAACTTTAAGACACCTCAGTGTATGCACAGGCAGGGTGCTCCTGCCCTAGCAGGACAGCCTTGCTTATACTTTTGAATATGTTTCATATGCAAACTGCTATAGAAGGGCATTCTGTACTATTCTCCTGTAAAAGAGAAAAAGAATCTTTTTTGCATTTGTCTGTGCCAATCAAAAACTGAAAGCTCCCAGATATAAGGAAAAATTTACATTGGAACGGCAAAAGTATCCTGTGGTAGTTTTTCAAACTCTCCATTAGCCATTTTTAACATAAAAACTTTTTGTCCTATTTCCTCCCCTTAATGTAGTACATTGTATTTTTTATCATCTCCTAATTCAGAGCAAAATATGATTAATAAATATAAACTTGTAAAATTGTTTTCTCAGGAGTTATGAAACAATCCCTTTTCTACAAAAAAATTGAAGTTTCAGTTTTAAATGTTTGTTTTAATGTAAGGATAGCTGGGAGAAATGATTAAACTTCACATAATATCCAACTAATGAATTTATATATAATCCTCATCCTTGCATGGATATGCATGTATACGTACATGTAAATATATCATACACATACATGTATACTATATATACATACATATGGCCCCTGTGTAATGTCTTTGACATTTCATGTCTAAATGCACGGAGAAGCAGTGCCAGCAGACAGAAACCACTTACCAAGAACATGAGGAGAAGCCTCGTCTTCTTGGATCAACACATGTCTAGCCCCAGGGGGCACATCAAACATCTTAAGGTACCCTTTGCATGTGTAGTGCATATTGGAGGAAGCAGAGAAAACAAAGGCAACACCGTGGTTAGTCCAGCATTGCATCCTCACTGCTCCGGAGTGCAGAAGAGGGCATCCATAAACCGAAAGGTGCATCTCGGAAATTAACTCCACAGCTGTGAGGCATCCCGCCCGAGGAGAAAAGTTTCCACTGGGGAGGAAGATTCATAGGCTGCAACTCATAGACCTATGAGTTGCACCAGCTACTCAGGCAAACAGCTATGCATCCCCGAATCACCCTGTCTTATCCTGGATTTCATAACTGCCTTTCTGAGTGGGGTCGAGTTTCAATGAAGGTTGTTAGGTGGTGAACTGGAGATACGCCTTCCATCTGCATGACACTACAAATAGTTAAGCTTCTATATCTTGAAATGTTTGAATATTTAAGAAACCTGCTTGAAGGAAAACTGAATGCAATGTGTATATTAGGTACTGCTTTTACACTGTTCCAGGCTCAATCTTCTAGGCCAGGAATTGTAAATTAATAGCCATAAATTGACGACTGGAACTTTATATCCTCATAGGAAAAACTTGAACAATATCATAAGCCCTACAATTGAAGATCACTTACAATTATGTCCATGACTATATTTCCACAAATTGAGAGGCAGAGATGTTATATCTCATGTCCAGTCAAAATGAGTTGGATCCTGGTGAGGAGATGCCTGCTTTATAATCCAGCATCTATGAAGCTGAGGCAGGGGGATCTTGAGTTTGAAATCAGCTGTTTAGGAAGGTGTTTCCTCAAATAAGAATAAATATAAGAAATTATATTTATTATATATATATATTATTATATATATAATTATATATAATTATACTAAACTTTTAGTAGATTGTGGAGTTCCTAGTTCATATAATCCAGGATGTATGCAAAAAGAAGTCCAGATAGAAATGTATGATTACTGATGTGATCAGAAAAAAGTCTGTTGTTTGTATATGTATAATTAATTCTCATCTATAGGTAGACTTACCCAACTCTTACATAATATTTATTAGGGTCCAAAGTAAATGCAGTGGTCATTTAGGATCAGGGTTTTCAGCACCTCAACCTAAGGAGCAGCCCCAATCCAGGAGCTGTGCTGTTTGCCTGAGTAAGCAATGGTTAAAAGCAACATGCTTAAGATGCTAAGGAGCGCCCATCAGCGTGAGGTCATTTATGGATGCCCATCTTTCTGCAGTGTGCTACAACTTACCCAGTACATTTTTAGTTTCTCTTGTTTCAGCAAGAGAAATATTACGAGCTCCTTTGGGCAAAACGAACGCGCCTCTCGTCTTCCCTTAAATAAAATGTCGTTAATTAGTGGAGGTTTCATGTTTATCAAAGTCTTGCTGTTTCATTGACTACCCCCATAAGCCATATAGATTTTTATTGGATAAGATATAAAACATATTCTGAAATTTTAAACGTTCAAATCAAAATGCGTTTACAGTAGTTAGCAAATGCTGGTAAACTGTTAATAGTCAATGAAAGTAAGACTGAGCATGAATGCAAAGTGATGGAGGTGATTTGAAGGTGAATACTTGCAGATTTCATTTTCCAGAAACTTGAGTTCCTTATGGCATCTCTTGCTTAAATGTTTGCCTGTTGGGAAAGGTTAATTAGTCTATTGCACATCTGTGACGACATTCATGAAAAGAAATGGAGGCTAGGTTATCTTTGACCGCTTTCAATCTGGGAGACTGAAGGGACATTTCACATGTTCTTTTGACCTTGACACTTGCTTAGCATAATTTTTGAGGTGGTCTGAAAAACAGTATTATGTCCTTACATTACACAAAAGCAAGAAAGAATTATTACAGTAAAAGAAGGGGTGTCCTTACATTAATTTATCCTAAAAATAAAACCAATTATTCCACACCCCCACATAGAAAACTAAATATAACTTCAGGGAAACAAGCACATTTCATCCTCTTCTAGCAAGGCACAGAAAATTATATTTGGTTTTGACAGAAGGGTAATATTTAAACATCAGTTCTCTTTGCTTTGCTAAAAGAATGCAAACAGCCAGCCAGAAGTGGCATTATTTGCTTCCAAACTATTTTTCAATGTGTAAACCACGGTAATTCATCATGAAGGCACAGGCTTCAAGGATCAGGGGCCACATTTGAAAAACGGCCACCTAACTGTCATCCAAAATACATCACAGAGCAAATCTGAAATTAAAATCCTCCAGAGTTAGGCAGCCTGGCTGTAATTTGTATAAAAATGGACAATGAGATTGCCCCATTTGGATGACGATGAACACAGCATTTTTATGTGTTCTTCTATAAGTTATAATCACTTGAAGTAAACCAAATGTCCTTTCAAAAGACATTGTTTATTTAATGTGTATGAGTGCTTTGCCTCCGCGTATGTCTGTGCACCAATGTCCAGTACCTGCAGAGGTGAGACGTGGCTATCGGATCCTTTGGGACTGGAATATAGCTGGTTGTGAGCCACCATGTGGGTGCTGGGACCAGAACCCAGGTCCTCCGGAAGAGCAGTCAGTACTATTAACCTATGAGGCAACTCCCAGACCCAAACTAAGTTTCCCTGTGCTCTCTGTCATCCCATCAGACACTGATAATGCCACAGGAGATTTAAAAGAATCTTCATGACAACGTCATGCCATATTTACCCTTAGCTGCTATTTTCCTGAATATTTTCCAAATAAATCCTCAAAAATATGTATAAATGCTTGTATGTAAGTATTATTATATAATTTATGCAACTACAAATATTTTAACAAATTATCTACTGCAGGGGGATAGCTTTTTATGCTATCTTTTGGACTTTTAATGTATATTTAACTTCAGGTTAAAGGGCTGTGATGAGCACAGAAAGTCACATACATGTGCTATCATACCTCAGATTACTTTTTGGATGTATTGGTTTTTTTTTTTCCTTTCATTTTTCATTCAAAACATCTGTTTGTTTAAAATACACTGTTAAAGATTATGTTATCTGTGAATGTTAGTTCCATAAATATAATAACAAGATAAAATTGTTCACTTTTAAGATAAAAGTAAGTGAAATGGTACAATATGTTAAAGTTATATATAAAGTTTTGTAACACTACATTTCTAGATGATAAATTATGTGCCGCATATGTTCAAAATTAACCTTTAGTCCCATATCCATTTGATTAAATTCAAACTAGCATATAGCACATATTTCTCTAAGCACTAAAACTAATAGAGTATCCCTTAACTCAATTTAGTAGTCATTTTCCTATATTTACTAATTAGTAATTAATAAATATTTGAGATATTAATTTAAAGTCTTATTTTTAATAATTTATTTTTAAACTACTTAAAAAACTTATTTTCTGTGACACTCATGGAAAAACAATCTCAAAAATTTAAAAAGATGTCTCAAAAATGGCCAATAGCAGGAAAGGATCTTAATTCAGGAGAACACACATCTTACCAAGCTTCCTGGGTGTCCTGGTAAATGTCCCCTTCACAGTCCGACAGTGGGAATTGTCCCCGCCACAGACCCCACACTTATCCTCAACCTTGTTGGAACCAATTTCTTTGTCGCAGCCCACTTTCTGTGGAGAAAAGACGTTAAACTAACTTTGATGTGCCAGGCAGCAAACACCACCCCAGAGATGGCGATGTCTTCACTGAAGGACGGCACACAGGCAGTGAGCTCAGGCCAGACACTGACTCTAGTGATGATTTCTCAGACCCCAGGATTTTGAAGAACTAGTGTGAATTCAAGTAAACAAAATGAAGCATAGGCTTTTTAAAATGGAGTCTGCTCCAATGAAGTATATTCCTAGTATTGTTTTCCCAACATAATTGTCCTTATCTTCAAACAAGATTCATAAGCAAAGAAGTTGATTCTGGGGAGAAAAAAATACCTCATAGCAATGGCCTAGTGCTTTCTCCTTGTTGCTCTAATATTCATAAAGGTGTACAGTAATGTTGTGAGTTGTAAAATGGTGTTATTTTTTTAAAAGTGGTTTGGGACATAAAACCAGAGAGTTTTACAAAGCCCGGAAGAAACAAAGTAAGAAGACATTTAGAAGTGGAAAAGGTTCGAATAATTATGACTTTTTACATTCACGGAGAGTAGGGTTAGAGATCAATATTTGTACATAGAAAGAAGGAGGGAGAAGGCAGGTGTTGCACAGTGGGGAAGCTAGGCCTGGATCAGGTGAGTTTTCATTTTCACAGTCAACAGGCAACTACTGAAGCTTTCTGGACCAGGCAGGACCTTCAGGTAAATGGGAACATGACGTACCATTGCTCTTACAGGTTTGATATGATAATCAGGAGGGGAACTGACATACATTGAGTACTAAATACTGTAGAAGTTAAAAAAAGTAATAATAATATTAATAATATTATAACAATATTATTTCACTGTCATCATTTATATCAATCCTCAACTCTCTGTGTTGTCAACTTCATCCTCAAGTCCAAAGTATGGAGAGGCAGGGCCTAATAAAATGTGGGGAATCCAGGTGTGGGCTTCCATCTGTCTAATCTCAGCACTGGGAAGGCTGAAGCAGGAGGATCACAGTAAGTGTCTAAGCAGCCTGGGAAATAGAGTGAGATGCTATCTCAAATCAACAAGATGAACTAAATGATAAGCTGCCACGATTAGATCATGAGACTTCTGCTGAGTTTAAATACTCACAGAAATGGGATAGTTATCAAGAGAGAGAGGTAGTGTCATAAGAGTGACCGTCTCTTCCCTTTCTAACTTCTAGCATGGATGACTCAACAGGAAGATGCCATCACATCTTTGATGTGATGCAAAACCACATCTTTGGTTTTGCAGCTCCAGACCATAGGCTAAAACACCTAAACTCATTCAGCATGAGCTTTGCTTTCTTTTGGTTTTACAAATTACCCAGGCTATGGTATTCTGTTATAGCAACACAATAGCATGCTTCAGTGTTTTGGAAGTTTTGGTTTATGATATGTATACATGTTTTTGTTTTAATCCCAGGTGTAGGATATGGGAATGATCCAGATTGTCCTCAGCAGGAAACTATTTGCCTCTTACAGTCTATGAGAGGGGCTCTTTGCCAGCTGCAGATAGTTTAATTCTGAGGACTCCAAGAGGGAATAAAGGAAGAGGAATGATGTTGGTGCTTCGCCCCTGTTGTTCCTGGATGCTGTTGCTGCAATTTGACAAGAAGTTGGAGATATCCTGAAATGAAGATTAGACTTGCTCCAAGGAACTACATCCCTAAACAACAGGAAGCAGCTAAGGAAAACTATGCTCCCCGCCCCTACTAACCTTCTTTCTCTCCAACATGGTGTTGAGGTGTTGGAAAGGATTGGGGTGGAGAAGAAAGAAAGAGGTATAAGAAACCCAAATAAAACTTTACTTCAGGTTTTACCAAATGAAAAGAAAAGGATGTTGGGAACACCATTCCAGTTAATGTGGACATTTACAGTAACAGTTGAATATGACCAAGAAAATAAATTCCATTAGAAAAAAGACTAAATGAGACAAGAATCCTTTTTCATTGCCCACAATTTTGGGCTTGACATAGAATCCAGTATTAAAATTTAGAACCATTTGAAAGATATGATAAAAGAATGGGATTTCTGTATTAATCTTTTGAACAAACTTAGAATTGGATTTTTATTAAAATGGTATTTAAACTAGAATTCAATACACATGCATATATCAAATATAGTTATTTTATAATGAGGGGAGCAATGCCTCTCTCAGATAGTGTAGCCCATCAAATAAAAAAGCCCAGCGTCAGGTATGGGTGACCTCTTTTTCAATTACTGGCCAGTGGAGTATCCAAGAGCTCTCCAAACATTGCAGGTTGTTGCCATTTCTCTTGGTTACCCTTCAGAACTTAATGGGAGGACCCAATTGCTGACAACGCCACATACTTGACTACAGGACACTGAGAAATTAAACTGATGCTGACCTGGAAGATTCAGCACTACAGGCCAACCTTCACAGTGCTACTTAAACTACTGAGCGAGGAAAGAAGTCAACCATCCTACCCTACTGGGAACTCTGAGCTACAGTGGTGAACTGCCTGGTAAGATATGCCCACTGGCACAGCATTGGCACAGATGCGTGGGAGTAATCAGTCGCTTTCCGATTGGATTTAAAGCCCACTCCGGGAGCTCATCGTCAGATAAGATTCCTTTTGCACTGTGTGGTGTTCAAAAGAGAGACCTACAGCTGTTCTCAACATGCAGAGGAAAAGAAGCTGTGGAATGCCCAGCTCAACACGGGACTTTGCTAACACACCCTGACCTTAGGCTTCACTGTGGAAGATGGGTGGAGATGTTCTGAGGGACATCTGCAGCAAAACAGTACTTGGTTAACATGACAGTGCTGCCACAAGGATGGACTCGAAGAGGCAACGGCACCATGTTCAAGACCTCCACAAGATGAAGCCAGTCAAAATCCCTATCTCAGGAGCTACCAGCAATGTATAGCTACTTGGGGGAGGGAGGATAATTCCTCCGCAGGGAGGTGCCCCTGAAAGGCCACCCATGCTACAGTGGAGGGCCTGTGCTCGTGTACACAGGCGGCACGAAGGGGACACCGTGAGTGTAAGAAGAAAAATAAAAAACTAGAGGACATGAAGGAGGAGGAAGAGCGGTGGGGAGGATAGAGGAGGAACTGGAGGTAGGGAGTAAGGGGTGGGCCTGATCAGAACACATTGTGTGCAGAAAGGAAACGCTACAAAAACAAAAGATGTTTACAACACCAGAAAAACCCTAAAAGCAAATGCAGTTCCTCACTGGGTTCCCAATCTAGAGACATTAGCTACTTAGAAAAACTATCTGGCTGTGTCAAAAGTCCAATTAAAACTGTTCTCGAATCTTGATTTAGGCAGTCACCAGACTGATTTTAACTAAGCTTGATTTCTCCAATTCATGCTCTCCTTTCAGCTCTTCATAATGGCCACTGCAACGTTACCTCACAAATATGAATGAGCTGAGATCTGGGTATGGTGGTGCACGCCTTGAATTCCAAAACTCATGAGGTAGAGACAGGCAGATCAGATCATTGTAAGTTTGAAGCCGGCCTGCACCGTGACTTCCAGGCCATCTAGAGCTATACAGTGAGGCCCTTTCTCAAACAACCAAAACAAACAAACAAACAAACAAACAAACAAACAAACCAGTTGAAAATCATTTCAAACATTCCCAAGGGTGATGGTAAATGTAGCATCTCACTGGATGCCTGTGAGTGACAGTGAGACGCTGTGGAGGCAGACATTTGAACTCACCACACACTCGCCTCGCACACATATGCTGTATGGATCTTTGTAGGAACAGCGTGTCCCGTCGTGCACCAGCTGCTTCATGTAAGCAACGTCCCCTGTCTCCTTGGACTGACAGTAAAGGTGGCATCTTTTCTTGGCTGCATAAGAGGCAGGCTTAAGTTAGTCATTTTCATAAAATAGGATGTCTGACCAGCACAGTTTACTTTAAGATATAACATTTCAATATGGGTTCCTGAAAAGCAAATGAAATAAATACTGGAAGAATAAAATGGGGGGGGAGATGAAAAGGGCAGAAATGACACCGTGCATGTTTGTTTTAATGTGAATGATTACTTATTTTATGTCATCTACACTGTGCCATTGTTGAGATAATAAGGGGTTCTATTAACTTAGTAGGAACATCTGTCAAAAGAGCCTGCGACTGCCACTGGCAGGCTGTGTTGGTAAACCCTGATGTCACCTACATTAGCTTCTTAGTAAGCTTTGACTCAAAGCCACGTTCACTCTAGTAACATTCTGGACACTGACTGCATTCATCACTCTAACACTCAGCTGATATCTGTGCCCTTTGTGGAGTCTTCATAATTGATAACCAGGTGACTCATTTCACTAAAATAAATTAGAAAAATAATTCATTTTGTAGAGAGCGTCCAACTTTGACCTACCCATGCTTACATTTCCCTTAAAAACAGCACTCAATAGAATTCAGTGATGTGTACACATCGATCAGCAAATCAAACAGAAATATGACAAGAGATTTCATTTTGAGCTTATCTAACCCAAAATTTAATGGGAAGAAGTCAAACATTAGAAGAAAGTTTCCAAGACTAGTTTAAGGCTATGAAGTCTTTGATTCAATAAATGGCCATCTTTTTTTCTTTTTCTGCTTTTTGGTTTCCATCTTGACTTAGCTGTAAACGGACTATTTTCCCCTGCCGTGGTTATTTCTTAGTTGACGGTTTCAGTTGAAGCAGGTGATACAGTGTCACTTCCCTTAGGGGTGGTGATAGGGCTATTTGCCAGATAACATGCCTGCCATAACAGCTACCTCTCAGGGAAAGGCATTCTTTAGCCTGATTCTTGGGAACCCGGAATGACTGGCCTTTGCTTCCGACGTTACCAGCCAGGGCTCAAGAGTGCACGGGCTCGGTGTCAGCAAAGCTTAAATGCTAAGTGACCATCCACACAGCAGGACAAAGAATGCTATCCACTCACGGTCAGGATGTTCATGCGGCAGCCAGTGGTGTTTGGTATTCTGGTACTCAAAGTGGGAGTTACGCTGTTGGCACTGCTGGGCCCTGAAGTCCTCAAAGTGCTTTTGGCATTCCTCTGTATTACAAAGCTGGTACTCGAAATTAACGCCAGGGCAGTCCTGACCACCATTGATGGGCCTAGAGAAAAGATGACATTTCAAAGGCGGCCTGGCGTCAGCCCAGCAGCTCGGGCTCACAGATGCAGTGCTACTGGGCAGAGAGCCAAGCGTCTGAGCTGCCAGCACAGGCTCAATGATGCCGCACTCCCGATGCCCAATGTCTCTCGGAAAGTTCCTTCTCTCTGTGCTGAGGGGTAATGACTCCCAAGCATGACCTAACTCAGTTTTCAAATGGTCCATTTCATTCATTGCGGAAGTATACAAAGGTGGAATGCAGGCCGGCGAATCAAGAGAATGATATTTCTACCATGTATAAAACATGCAGGTGCAACTCAAAGAAACATCGAGCATACGGTCCTGTGTCTCTGCTTTCTCCTGTGTCAAATGCAAAATGGAATGATTTTTCCAAACAAGGAAGTGGTAAAATTCAATGGTGTGACAGATTTAAAGAATTTAGAATAGACCGCGGGTTGGGTTAGCCTTTGACTCTTATGGCTGTGCTTCTAGATGTCATTGTTAATTCTAGTACTGCCCTCCTGCCCTCCTGTGGAGACAGTTTGCAGCCATGCTCAGAGCTACCCTTCTGCTAGAACAGAGAAGGGGCTGCTCACAGGGTCAACCCCAGCTGGAGAAGCCAGCATATCCAAGGTGAATAATTCCATTACTTTTTCTTGCCTCATACAATAAATCTTGTCAGGTTGAGTGGACGGCATTTTCTTCTCATAGGCCCTTCCGGTCTGCTACCATCTTTCTGTACTTCTACACTGAAGCAGCTGGACCTACCTTCTGGAACTTGGTTGAACTTGTTGGTACTTTATTCCCCCAATAATTCTTAGCTTCTTTATGGACAGGTCAAACATTTCACAGGGCACATGGTATCTATTCTCTCTGCTCCACTCCCTCATGGTCCCAAACATCAAATTCATCATAAAAGAATCTCTCCTCTTCATTTGAGTGTCTGTCTTCATGAGTGACCACTCTCCAGCACATTGGTAACATTAACCCCAAAGAGGCTGGCTTATGAACCCTGAACAATACTTTTCCATAGCCTCTATTCTGCAAGCAGGGTGAACGAAGGAAACCTACTAGGAACAGAACACGAATCACTCCGTGGTCTACCAGGAAGCAACAGGAGTTCCAGGGCTATACTCACATGGGATTGTTGCATTGGCGTGTTCTAAAACGAACACCAGTTCCACATGTCCTGGAGCAGGAGCCAAATTTGGTCCACGACCCCCAGTTGCCATCTTGTTTTTGCTGGTTAGCGTTCTTCCACATACAGTGCCCTTTATAGCACCACTGGGGAAAAGGAGCGAAGATAATTGTGATGGTTGCTGAAGGCGTTATTCAAGAAATATTTAGTAGAAGGTCTTCAACTCTTTATTCTCCCTCCAGTTAAATATTGAATTAAAGTATCCCTAGGCATTTGCTTCACAAAGATAGCCCGTCAAAAGGATAACTTAGATCCATAAGTTTAAGGATAAGATTAAAGTGCTGCACTTGGGGCTGCCTTAGAGTGCTCACTGATGTCTTGCCAAGGGTCTGAGTCCTGTTCCCAGCATCCACCCTGGGCAGCCTGTAACTACTGTAATACCAAGTCCAGGGGGTCAGATGCCCTCTTCTTGCCTCTGTTGGCACCAGACAGACATTGTGCATTCACTCACATATACATGCATGTTATATACAGACACACACACACACACATATATATGTATATGTATATATATATATATATACACTAATGAAAACAAACCTTATTTTTAGAAGAAAAACAACATTTATTCAGATAAGCATTGAAATGTTACATCAGAAAAGAGCGCTGAGCAGATACCATTCTCACTTTCACTGTTTACCGCTTCCATCACCCTAGAGTGTTAGATGCCAGTGTAACCCCTGGCATGCAAATATGTCTCAACCTCAAAAGTAATTAACTGAAATTAATTCAGTGTTCAAAGCACCTTTAACTTTATAGAATATTAATTTATCAATCTGAGATATAGATGGGTTAGATAGTGATTTTTTTCTTACCATTTAGATAAGTAAAATGAATGTACATAAAAATTCATGGATTGTTTAGGGGCCACATGTGTGTGAGAACAAAGTGGGGTTAATACAGTCACAATGTCACTTGTGGGATTCCTGGATAAAACCACCCAGCCTTTGGCAGGTATGTACTCAAAGGGAATAGATTATTTTCTTTCCAAAAATTTCAATTGCCTTCTTGTATATTGCAGACAAAACAGTTTCTAAAACTTTATACATTTAAATGTAATATTATACAATTACATGTAGGGGAGTTGGATGCTAAAATTGAATATAACATAACTTTTTAATAAGCCAAAAGTGATTCTACTCATCATTGCTCTCATTTTTAGTTGAAAATTTATTTATTAACTCTTCTCAAGGGAAGAAACTATATATATTGTAGTTGGCACAGTGTCTGACAGAATGCAAGTGCTTATAATTGCAGGTTTTTATTAGTATGCATATTTCATACAAGAACACTTCATGTATGTTTGAAATAAACCATTTAGAAAGGTAAAAGTTATATTAATCTTTTCTGTCAGCATTTGGGCCTATCTACAATATATTATTTCTAGACTAGTCAAGGCTCTTCAACTTGCGTTCTTAGCATGCCTTTGTTTTGGGCTCTTTGCCCTTAAGAGAAGCACATCTGGGCATACAGCCAGTTTCCAGGCATTCAGTCTCAACTACACAATCTGAGATTTAAAACCTTTGGGCATCTTGCCCCCAGAAGTGAGGCCAAATCTTCTGTATAAATTCACATGCCTTTATTTCTGGGCAACTTCCACAAGGGACGCTATGCCAGCAAGTAAATCAGTCCCAAGTAGCAGGGGCCGGAGATCAGTGTCCCTACTGCCTTTCCCCTTGGCCACGGCAAGCCAAATGATCTGGTCCTCCCAGTGTCAAAAACTTCAAATGCCTAGGCTGTGAAGATGACCTTATTTAGTAAAAGATTCTGTGTAAACATGATTCATTTAAAGAGTTCAAATTCAGGAGATGATCCTGAGGTATCTAGGTAGGCTCAAAACATTATGAAAAGACTCAGTCCTTGCAAGAAAGGGGCAGAGGAAAGAGACACCCAAGTGTCATAGGTCAGAGGAGTTTGGCCATTATGTAGGAAGATGATAGCCAGAGACTAGAAGAAGGGATGGATCAATTGCTAGTACAGTCTCTGGAGGGAGTGTGGCCTTGTCCACATACAGACTCTACATCAGCACAACTGGTTCTTGCCCTCAAGCACCATTACAGAACAAACTTCTGGTGTTTTAAACCATCAGCTTTGTGACAATTTGTGATAAGCAGTCCCCGAAGCTAGTACACTATCTTAGCAGCTTGCCATAAGGGAACCACACGGGCACCTCATACTCCTTAAGAAAGACAGCCCAGCAGTGACTGTCATTTGCTAGATGTTGAAAAATTCCCATGCAGCGCTCAATGAGGCTCAAGGAGGAAGCACACTCACCTTCCCAGCAGCACATTCAGTTCCATCAAGTGGGGGCCCCTTCTTAGTCTTACAGAAGTACGGGTTATCAGGATGGCTACACCATAGCTGTTTGCACGGATCAAAGGTTCGAAACTGGAAGAGAAAGATGCAAACTATTAACTTTCAGAGAGTGAGACCTTTGCCAATCACATTTGATACACAACTTCCTCGTGTCATATTATTGGAGTGGGGTTATTTTTTTAAAATTCTTTATTAATTACACTTTATTCACTTTGTATCCCCCCCATGGTTCCCTCCCTCCTCCCATACCAATCCCTCCCTTCCTCCACCCTCTGCATACATGCCCCTCCCCTAGTCCACTGATAGGGGAGGTCTTCTTGTCCTTCCTTCTGATCCTAGTCAATTAGGTCTCATTGGGAGTGGCTGTATTTTCTTCTTCTGTGGCCTGGTAATGCTGCTTCCCCCTCAGGGGGAGGTAATTAAAGAGCAGGCCAATCAGTTCATGTCAGAGGCAGTCCCTGTTCCTATGACAATGGAACCCACTTGGATACTGAACTGCGATGGGCTACATCTGTGCAGGAGTCTTAGGTTATCTCCATGCATAGTCCTTGGTTGGAGTATCAATCTCAGGAAAGACCCCTGTGTGCAGATTTTTGGTTCTGTTGCTCTCCTTGTGGAGTTCCTGTCTCTCCAGATCTTACTGTTTCGAGTGGGGTTATTTTAATTTCAAGTTGATAGCCAAAGTGTTAACTTGGTAAGAGATAAACACTTGCATTAGGGTTCCAAGTTAGAATACGCTGTTCTGGAGCAGCAATGAGAAGTGCAATATGCCTTCATTGTGCTAAGCACATTAATTACATCATCACATTTAGTCTTTACATAAATTATACTATCACTATCCACACTTCAGATATAAGAAAACTACACCAGAGATGTCACATATGGTACTCAAGTTCACGGAGTTGGTGTCAGATCTGACCTACTTTGCCTGATATCCATATCCTAGTGTCTAACTGCTGGAAAGTAAAAACCAACTAAAACCACTAAAAGCAGAGCTTCATTTTATAGCCCAGGCTGGTCTTGAATACACTAAGTAGCTGAAAAAAGCCTGGCTTCAAACTCATGATCCTCCTGCCTTATCCTCACAAGGACTGTGGGTATAGGCATCTACCATCATAATATTTCACAATATTCCATCGTATTGTAGAAAAGCTGAACATTATCTCTGAAGGTGAGAAAACCAGGGGAGGAATGGGACACAAAACTCTGAACTGGAGAGCCTTGAGCAAAGAGCAGCTAGCTCCCTGTTTTACCAGGTGAATAAGTGGTTCAAGAAGCTCTGTGATCTTGGCTTTTTTATCCTAAAGATAAAAGCCTTGTAATATCTCTGCCCCTAATTCTGCAATATGCATGTATACACACTAACACACATACATACAAATATATACATATCCAAAATACACACATACACACATATCTGTAACATCAGCTTTTAATTTTAAAAGCTATGAATTTGAAAAAGAGCAAGTAGGGGTATTTGGAAGGCTTTGGAGGGAGAAATTGAGAGGAGGCAACAATGTAATTATATTGTAATCTTAAAATATAAAAAAGTAATTAAAGAATAAAAGCCTGTGAGCTGTCAATCTCCCTTCTTATCTCTCATGAGGACCAATTCAGACTATATACCCAAAACCATCTAGTTTAGCTCAATCAACACAGCAAATACAAGATGGCTGTAGATTGTTTCACACTTGTATCAGTGAGTTTGCAAAGTCCACCCACCAGGAACAACACAAACAGGTCTCAGGACGAGACACCTAATTTGCCAGTAGGTTACATACCGCTGTGCACATTTTGTAGCCCACACCAAAATCAAAACGGCATTGCTCATCCATGGAGTAATTAATTCCTGGGAGTTCTGGGAGTTTGGGCCAATCATGTTCAAAGGGGTCATCAAGGAGGCAGTCATAGGAGCTGCAGAAAGGAAAACATCAAGTGCATTTAAATTCTCCTTGTTGAAGTCAGGCCTTGAAGGGAAAGGCCACTTAGCTCAAACACTCTGAGGTTTTGTTAGCTCATAGGGCATGTTCTCAGAAACACGGATGTTAATGGTTTTGGTTTTATTGCACTCATCTTTCATCTTTACTAATGCGGAGACAGTGAACCAAGCAGAGCTCTGGGATACAGTCGTGCTGTGGCAGCCATATTCATGTCACTAAGTGAGCATATCCAAAGAGTGGCAGGACAGATCCAGCTCTGCCCAGTAGCAGAAACCATACAAACTCCCTGTCTCCATCCTCAGGTCAGGTCTGACCCTCAGTCATAAGGAACCTACCCCAGGGAAACCCAGATAAAACTACACTCAAGTTCTAGGTTCACGGCTTGAACTGCTGCGTGACATTACAGAATCCTTTGGGTTGACACCTCTGGTGTCATGTATGTGGCCTTATGCAGCAGGGGATGGCATGCAGCGAGGCACATACTGGATGTATCTTTTCAACTCCTGACCGCTGCATCTGGACCAGTGGTAGCGATGGAAGGCAGCTTGCACCAGGGGCGCCATGACGCTGCCCATGGCGGTCTCATCGCCACACCTGTTGCCTTGTCCGTCATGCTCCATTCCCAACCTAGAACAGAAGGAGACCTCATTGGCAAGAACTGCAGGGCCATGGCTTGGGCTTCACTTTTTTTTTTTCTTACAGTACATGCTGGGAAAGACATTTTTTGAAAAGTCAACATAGCTTCCTTGGAGACACCATGGACAGTGAAATTGAGAGCCATCTAATGAAATTCTATAGCCATCAAAGGCACAGGCATGCCTGGCCAGACAGAGTGACTCATTGAGTTTCAGCACATGGACCGGTCACCGTTTTCAGTTCCTTACACTTGGCGAAGGATGAGATCTCACACTGGCATGCATTTTTACTCAGAGTGTGAACAACAATGGAGAAGTAAAGAAAAACAACTTTTTTTTTTCTCTCTAGCTGTCAGCAGTAACTTACACATGGCCAGTTTCATGGGCTACTACAAAAGCAGATGAAAAGCCATCTTCATGATTCAGGGTGCAGCTTCTCACTGGGTGACACATGCCTGTGACGGGTGCATATCCTGCAGATAATAACAATCACTCATTTCATATATAAAAGATATAGGTAGATGGATAGATATAACTCATCACAATTAATAGTGTATAGAAAGAAGAAGAGAAGAAGCATAAGAAGAAGAAGCAGCAGCAGAAGAAGAAGGTGGTGGTGGAGGAGGAGGAGGAAGAGGAGGAGGAGGAGGAGGAGGAGGAGGAGGAGGAGAAGAAGAAGAAGAAGAAGAAGAAGAAGAAGAGGCATTCCCGTAGAGTGGGGCAACATTATTTCTCTGTTATCAGTAAGCTACATTCTCTTGGGAAAGCAGGCAGGGACGGCCTGGGGTTACCATTCTGTTCTGCCCACCATCTCGGCCTTGTCTTTCTGTTTTAGTAAATGACCCTTCATATCTTGGTTCTAACGGCAGGAGCCAGAAATCCCACCAATGTGGAAAAGAACACCATCGGTCTTTCTCCACAGTCTACATCAGAGTTTATTAGAGAAATGCAAGCTGACTTTGGTAGACAGATTGTTGGCAGGAGCCATTCTCATTCCGAACAGTTAGTGGAAATCATACTGCGTGTTACAGCATCCCTTCCACACTCCAAATGTACAATCATTATCTTAAAGGCAAGGGTAATTTATTATGGTGTTTAAGTGGCATTTGACGTTGCGGATTCTACAGAAAGTCACTTGAAGAAATAGGGGGAAAGTGTACGCTTGGCTAGTGGATGGTGGAAATTGGTAGAGAAAATGGCACAACCTGCTTTCCTTGGAGTTCCTTTTGAAAATTTGACTTGATTTTACTTCTACATAGTTATAGTAATACCTTGCATTCCAGCAGGCCCGAAGTCTTGCCTGGTTAAGAAAATTGCATGATCATGGTGTTCAGCGTGCTTGGGATCAGGTTTTTGTTGCTGGCAAGCCCAGCGACACACATTTTCCAGGCTCCTGGATGGGTTTCCCCTTTCTATGAGGCTGATGGACTGAAAGGACAGATTATGTTAAACACAGTTTTTGTGACTTGGATTCTGGGATGCTATTTCAACAATGACTCAGAAGTATTATTTGGGAGATCAACTTTGATTCAGAAGTTCTAAAAGCCCCCATGGGAGGGGGTTCCATGCTGCCTGTGAGAAAGCCCACAGACATACGCATCACCTGTTTGATGTCAGGATTCACTACCACGGAGTGACTCAGTGTTAATCATTTTGAGGCAGATTTCTAGAAGTCTAAAATACTTCCTGATTCTATTCAAATTTTAGGTTTCACACATTAAAGACAAATACTGGGAAAGATTCTTGCATAAAACTTTTTTCCAGAGACAGGAAAGTCAAAGATCTAAGTTAAAATTTTCGTGTATTCTTTTGGTCCAGGAATCATCTGTACATAGGAGGAAAACACATTCTTTCAAGATTTGGCAAGACTGGACAAACTTTAGTGTAGAGTGAAGAGTCAAAATAGCTTTTTACAGACTCTAAGACTTATAACCAAACCTTTGGCAGAGTGCAGGGAATCATATGAAAGAAGGGGAGTTAGTGTGACGTAGAAAGGATAGGAGATCCACAAGGACCAAATATATCTGGGCACAGGGGTCTTTTCTGAGACTGAAACTCCACCAAGGACCATGTATGGATATAACCTAGAACCTTTGCTCGGACAAAGCTCGTGGTAGCTCAGTAACCAATTGGTTTCCCATAGTAAGGGGAACAGGGACTATTTCTGACAGGAACTCAATGGCAGGCTCTTTGACCTCCCCACCCCCCAAGGGAGGATCAGCCCTGCTAGGCCACAGAGGAGGACTTTACAGCCAGTCCTGAAGATAACTGATAAAACAGGGTCAGATGAAAGGGGAGGATGTCCTCCCCAATCAGTGGACTTGGAAAGGGGCAGGGAGGAGATGAGGGAGGGAGGGTAGGAGGGTAGGATTGGGAGGGAATAAGGGAGCGGGGATACAGAGTTAATAAAATATAACTAATAATAAAAAAATTAAATTAAATTAAAAAAAAACAAAAAATAGATTTTTAACTTCATGATAATGACAGGGTTTTTGTCTCTTATCTGGTAACCTCAATGGCTATATAAATATATAAATATTTATATATATATTTATATATATATTTATATATAAATATATATTTATATATATTCACAAACATATATATATATATTTCACAAATATATATATATATATTTTTCACATTGTGGTCTGGAGTTAGGTGTCTCCTTCCCAGAGTGTTTCTAACAGAAAGAGAAATTAACTTTGGAAGCCTAAATGAGCTCCTAATTGGCTGGAGGAGCCAGAGTTTTGTTAAATTTCAGCAAATGCTATTATAAGTGTTTCCATTCTTAATAAACTTAGCTTGGTCTGTTGTATGGTAATCATATAGTTTGCCAAATGAATGATTTAACAACCAACTAAAGGCTGTCAGATCTTCCAGCCGTGGTTAGCTGGTCTTTTGTAGCAGTACAAAGCACCTCAGGCTTTTGAGAGAAGGTAAGAGCAGGGCTGAGGACAGATGTGTAAAGAAACACACAGAGGCTTCCGGTCTCCCAAATGTTCAAGTTCACTAGTGTTTCCGATTCAGGAGGATTAGTGGTGGGAAACATTCATTGTTTCAAATATGAAATTACCAATTTAATCAGGCTTCTCAAAGGAATTTAACTCTTTCCAAGGACAGGAACACATCTAATATTGATATATACTGGTTTTCAATTATATGTCAAGAATGTCTACTGCCTACATTTGGATCCAACTTTTTCTTTTCAAAAGGAGTAAAACTTCTTTAACTGAAAAAAAAAATTGTCAGGGTTGCTTTACTCTTAAATATATACAGTTGAAATGTCGTGTTAAATAAATTGAAAAGATATTTTTTTTTTCTTCATGGACGTATTCCGAGTGCTTTGAGAATAATGACCATATAAATGGACACTTCACATAGAAACATTGAATGCATATACAGGTCACAAACCTGATGGGAATGGGCTAAGCACATTTTCTTTTCTTTTCTTCTTTTCTTCTTCCTAATGGCATCTGTTCTTGTTCATTTACTTATTCAGTCACCTCTAAAGGCTTGGGCAGACTCAATCCATAGAATGCTTGTGTAGTGTGCAAGAGATTCTTGGTTAAATATCTAGCAGAGTATGCACTGGGCATGATAGTGCAAGCTTGTAATCCCAAAATTTAAGAGGTAGAGTAAAAAGGAATGGGCGTTCAAGGTCATCCTTGACCTCTTGGGGAGTTTGAGGCCAACCTGAGCTACACGAGACCTGCCTCTAACAAAAAGTCGCTCTAATTGAGAAATCTCTTCCCATTCTGGAAGATTCTCCTTCCCAGCTTGGTACAACCATGAGTCTATACAAGACCGAGGGTAGTTTTGCCACCCAGGCTCTTACTGACTGACCTAGTCGCTAATATCCACAGCCCACCCATTCGAAGACAGCTTACCTTTGCGTAACCGAGCAGAATCATTCGCACCAGGACCACGTTTATGTGCACTCCGAGGGACTCATCGTGGTAGATTTCATTTACCTGGAGACAAAGGAGAAAGTTGCTACAAGGAAGGCCCTGCCGAAGATGTCAAGACACATGCAGCATTCTAGTCAGATTGGCCAATTTATACTGGTTTTTGTTTGTTTGTTTGTTTGTTTGTTTATTCAGATTAAGCCCATCTCCAAATGAAGTAATTTATCCTTTGTTTTGGAACATTCTTTGGATAGGTGATTTACTGATTTTTGTAAACTACAGAGAAAAATGAATGTCTATTAAATGAGCTGTAGTGCGTGTGTGAGCACACAGGCACATACGTGCAGGCTTACATTCACGCATGTGCTTATAGGTAGCACAAGACTCACCTAAACCAAATACGAGAGTGTGACTCTGGTGATGTTCTGTCCTCAGAAAGAAGGCAGACAGGCAGCTGTGTCTAAGTGGCTGGCAGGAGTGCTCCTTTGGTTGAAGGGTTTCTGTGTAGAAGCTTTGGGGGTCTGAATTAGCAAGTAGGGGGCCTTCCCAGTGTCCCCTAGGATAGAGCAGCTGGGGCAATGCTCGTTTAGAACTACCGTGGGATAGAAATCCTTTAGAATGTGCATCGTCAAGGTGACTGTGTATGTGCATGTCAGAGATGTCAGTGCTGGATTCAAGTCTGAAGACCTCGCTTGGGTCTAATGTCATGATTTCATTTTTTAACGTCAGGCTAGAATTTCTCAAAAAGTGATTTTGTGTGCTTTAATAATACAGCTATTGGAATTAAAGCAATCTTAGGTCACGGTTCAACTCCATTTTATACAGAGGAGGAGGATGAAGCCTGTAGACTTTAGGCGACAAGCTAAACCACACAGTGAGTTACTGGCAGACAGAAATCTAAAGCACACTGTAATTATATCTTCTGATTAAGCTACTGCAAAATGAGTGCAAAGAAAATCTGTCCAACTTGGCAAATGCTAGCAGGAATGACAAAGGCAGAATTACCTGGCTAGATTCCAGGTACTAGTTATTCCCCAGAACAAGGGCTCAAACTTCTAACAGAAATAAGAGAGACATGAAAACTAACCACAGTTTCACTTGAGGTCCAGGATGTTTGGATGGCAGGCTTAGCAAATCTAAAAGCTGCAGAGAAAAGTAGAATGCCATGGAAGGAAGGCCAGAAAATACAGAAGATTCAGTCATCATAGAATGAAACTCATGCATCAGGAAACTCTGACTTACCACATTAGACTTGCCACACTCACCAAGAAACAGGACAAGAAATCTCTATTTAGATGTTTCGAGATTCCAGCATGACTGCATGGAGCAGCTTTAACATCGGGGACCTTAAATGAAGACTGATGGATCGCATACTACACACTCAAATTGTACCCAGCATTTACAGAGCTACCAAAGACGGATGTGAAAGGTCAGTCTGAGATAGAAAATACTAAATAAAGCCAAGTCTAAGTTATTTATTTATAAACACATAGATGTACATACATGTATGCATATTTGTAGAGTAGATAGATCCAGTTTCAGCGGTAGAAGATAAGCTAAGATGAAAGAAAGGAAAGAAAGAAAGAAAGAAAGAAGGAAGGAAGGAAGGAAGGAAGGAAGGAAGGAAGGAAGGAAGGAAGGGAAAGAAGGAAGGAAGGAAGGAAGGAAGGAAGGAAGGAAGGAAGGAAGGAAAGGAAAGAAGGAAGAAAGAAAGAAAGAAAGAAAGAAAGAAAGAAAGAAAGAAAGAAAGAAAGAAAGAGCAAGCCTTGCACTGCAGAGCTATACAGACAGGCGACTCATGGCCAGGTTGGCTCACTCTAGGCGGAAGAACACTCACAATAATGAACTCCTTGTGTACTGGTACACGAGAGAGAGGTGGTCAACAAACACAGTGGTACTTAAGGAATAACAGAGAGCAAAGAGCCCTGAAAACGTGTCATATGCAGAGTGACAAGGAGAGATATCATGACTAAAGACACTGGATATTAACTGTCTCAGACCATCGCGGTTCAAAAATCCCTCAATGCCTAGCAACTCTACATTTCCATGAGCCTCAATCGAATGGGCAAGAGAAATAATACTATCTCATAGTCTTGTGGAAATAATTCAAAGACTTATTCCAGTAACTTGTTCAGCCTTGAGACCAAGAATGGAGGGAAGGGCCTTGAAAGGGCACCACATTAACAGAGGTGGGAAGAAAAATCTATAAAGGCTTTATAACTGGGATATGGAAGAAATAATATATTTGTGCCCTACATCTACAGAAAATAAAGCTAAAAGCCACCCATTAAAATTTTATCAAAAGGGAAATTTCCAATCCAACATGAGACAATAGCACTGCTATCTGTGGCCTATTTTGCTACTAACTGATTCTCCTCTATTACATCACACTGCCTACTGCCTAACTGGAGGCAGAGTCTCCACACCCTCCTCTTCTAGATTAAACATCCAGTAAAAACATTCTTAATGTTACAGTTCCAATAAAATTAGGAGTCTAAAGCCGGAGATGCCACTGACGCTCTCATTCAGAGGCTCATGAGCATTCCAGAAGCCTTGTTTGTACAGCAACTGTTCCAAAAAGAGGCACGGCTTCACACACAAAGGTAGAGCACGCTTCGCTGAGTGGAGGTGAGGTGTAAATGCCTTCTCCCTTCTTTACAAAAGGCTAAAAGCAGTACTAACCATCAGGCAGAAATGACGAACAACAAATCCTGAGGTGTAGGAGAAAAAGTGGGTTAATTTCTGTAAAAGAGGTGATGACAGAGGATAGGAGTCATGACTGCTACCAAAAACAGACACGGTGGAAAACCTTAGAGTCACAAAGTGAAGAAAAGGTCATAACAATGGCATGTAGCTTTTGGCGTTTGAGATAAAACATCAACAGTATATATGACCACTCTACCTTAATGAGTATGGTAATTTGTAGTCAATGAATTGAAAAATCAACTTAATGCCAATAAAGTGTAACGGGAAAAATTGTTCATGTGAACAGCAACAGTATCAAATTGAGTAAAAGAGTACTGTTTTTAAAAGCCAAATTAACATTCACCAGAAGAAATGCATAACTTGACAAAAGCTACTATCATGACAGGCTAATTGGACAGCAGTCTTCTTTAGTGAAAAATTTTCAGTTTTGGGATAGGATCATTTAAACCTATATTATCATAGGTTAAAAATAATCAAAACATGAGCAATAATTTCACAACAGCAGAAAGCAGGCTTTCAGTGAGAAAAACTAAGAGTAGCCATTATAACATGCAAAGCCCTGGCTCTTACCCAACATGCTTCTTAAGGATCAAGAAAGTTGACTCCTTTATATAATTCACTTTCATGATATGCTGAGTAATATAGCAGCTTTTCATCTCCCCGTGCTCATCAGTGCCACAGGTACAAGTGTTTTCACACTGAGACACACACACAGGATGAGCACAACTGGAGGGAGAATGAGCACAGCTCTGTGGGGTCCCATCTTCAAAGTCCTGGATTCTGGTTGTCGCTTTCCCGCAATAAACGAAGGGGCTTTTGAATGGTTACCTGAACACTCTGTGCCTCGCGTTTCTGCTGACACACGGCAATCATAGCTATTCCACCTGCCTCATAGACAGGTTGTTCAAATCAGGCAAGATGGCACATCCATCCTTGGCAAAATGCCAAATCCTTTTCACGCTCATCTACCTGAATATTGTGAAGTTTGTGAAAACATGTGGTCACGTCCCGCCTTTTCTCGAGAAAAGCAAATGGCTCATAGTACTTCTAAGGGATTCTCAAGATGCTTCAATGTAAATTTGTTACATCTCAACCAAGTGAAAGATGCAATTTAAAATCAACAAAAGCACTGAAAAAAGAAAAAAAAAATCTTGACAGTGCAGTTTTTCTCAGAGGTGGCAGAGATCTTCCAGCAGGTGGCGCTGTGCACTCTTGGAATGGGAGGAGGACAAGGTAGCAGAGCCCTGCACCCTAGAACACCTACATCTCCAGTTGGCTTGTGGGCCTTCCCAGGTTTACCCACAAACAAAACAGCTCCCACTAAGTTAGACAGAAATGTGAAAATAGCACGAGGAAAATCCTGTTCTGAATGACTACTTATTTGACTCTTATTTGATTACTTATTTGACTCATATAAAAGCAAAGCACAATATTGGAAAACTCTTATTTTGAGTTTGCGTGTCATCTCATTATGGAATTTATAAGAGACCTAAAGACCCTCCCCCATGGGCTGCCTATTTTTACCATGCAAATAAAAGAAACGAAGAGTGTGCCCTAGAGAAAGAACTAAGAGTGGATCATACTGAATTCCCAACTTCAGTCTCTCAGAAGGGACTAAAATAACCTTTGTAAAGACAATGGTTTCACAACATTTAGTAGCAAAGAAAACATATTTCCCCAAGTGAAAGCAACCGCGTCAAACTCCACTCGCAATAATCAACAGCATGTGCATGCACCCTTCCAACCTCCAGGCATCGTTTTCTGTATTTCAGCCTGGACTAGTTCAAGTAATCCTTGAAATACTCTGAGATGCTACCTTCACTTTGCAACTAAGGAAACTGAGACCCAGGCTTGTTGGGTAACTCACCCAATGCCAGAGTTACAGAGTAAGCCAAGGAAGCAAGTCCGGGCGGTTTGAGTCGACACTCACTAGATTTAAACATTTTGCCACACGTCCAAACCCACACATCACAGCACTGCAGAACAGATCTCATCTTAGAAGAACAGCACTTCACACCTCCAAGTTTACAAGTACAGCACGGAATTATACCGGGAGAGGTAACTCAACATTCATTGGTTTCGGTTCTCTTCTTTCACATGAATTCTTTTTTTTTTTTTTTAATGAGAAACTGCATTCTAGATTTATTACAAACAATTTCTTTTTGATCAAAACAGCTGTGCACTGAAAGTACTGAGAAAAATAAAGAACGGGAAGGTGAGTGAGGAGAGGGTTGGCTGTGTAGTCAGTGTGTTGGGCATCGGAAAAGCACAAAGCATACACGTTGCTGTAAGTCACGCCTTTGACACACGTAATGCTGCTCAAAATGTCACCGGTAGTGCCAGCCTACTGGGCTCCGGAC